CATTTTGATTTGACGTTTCGCTCAATGAAATCAAATGCAAACGCATGCAAGTCAATTTCGGGTGACGCAAAAAAACAAATTCGACGGCATGCGTACCAAAACGCAAGCCGCGAATATTAGGTTAGCCTGTAAGGGAGTATCAAAACTCTAATGTCACTAATGAGCAAACCTTTAATTATTGAATCATGGTGCAGCATTGCCAGCTATCAGCTGTTTTTCGAAGACAGCTGTATGAAGGAAAACAAAGTGGAAAGGAATTAACAAAACATTCATCAAGTGCTTCGTTCCTATTGACATAAAACCTGTAAGTGGGAACACATTTGAGAGAGTAACTGAGGAACTGTTCCTAGGCAGAAGTTACAGGATTTAGTCCGGAGTATTTTTTCCTGTAAGTTCATGAAAAGTGTCAAACGATCAGCTGATTTACATGTGCAAACAAAAACTGAAAGCGGTGAAAGCTAAGAATCTTTTATTTGTTAAAAAATGGAAGTAAACAACGAAATATTTGAATATGTATAGATTTTAATAATTATTTAGTGCTATTTCAGCTAAATCAGTGTTGTACAAATGACATGTAAACAAACCGACTGACGTTTTTACAGGATATAGTGCTTTTTGCGTTCCTATGCACTTATGCATCTGTTCTCCTTTTACTCTCATTTGAGAGCGTAAAATTGTAGTTTGACAGTTCCACAGGTTTTAGTCCGAAGTTCAAAGGAACAGACTAAATTATAGCAGCAGAGTAAGAGCGCGCTATGGAAGTGAATTCACAAAGATATGCGGGGCTGTCGCGCATAGTTGTCTTGAACGCATTTATGTGAGCTTCTGGTTTAATTGTTCAACCACAACTTCCTATGCCTGAAGAATTGGTTCTCAATCCAGTTAGTGCAATAACAGCTTCTTCCAAGCCATTGAAAACATGCATTTTGTTGGGTCCACAACCTGTTGCGCTTGCTTCTGCCTTCGGACGCGCTTAGGGATTATAACCCTTACTAAGTATAATTCTCCTTTCTGTGTTGCCGGAGAAGAGGGACTTCCGCATGTCAAAGGCATACAACATTTCTTGTGCATATAACTCTGGCTACGCCATCCACAGTATTTTTGCGCAGAACCCACATCGAAATTTACAAAAAAGTGCATAGTGCAAACCGAATTTATTAAAAAAATATTGCTCGGAAATTTGAAACATTTATTTTAAATTAAAGTTTAATTTGTATGTAAAAGTAGATTCGGGTTATGCGTTTGGATACAACAACCGAAAATCATTGTACAAATAACTAAACCGGACCCAAGTTTCTCGATAAGGGCAACAAAGATTCTTTTTTGTTCATTTATATAAAGCAGTGGATAAAAATATAGGTTTATACGAAAGGCAAATTTATCTGTTTAAATGAGCGCCACTAATATTTCCTGCAAACACACATCGATTTTCATCTTTTATCTCGCCCCCGACACAGAATTGTTTTCGTACAAAATTACGCAAAAAAGCTCACCGTTCGTTTTTAGGCATGCCTTCGTTACGAATTTCGAAAGTTCGAAAATACGATTCGGATTGCAGCATACTATTTCTACGATTCGTAGCAAAATCCAAATACGAAAGAATTGCAGAATAGGGGTGCTAATAACAATAACTCTTGTAAAACTTCGAAGTTTGCAAAATTGTTCAAATTATATTTTTTGTTTATGGTTGTAAACCGAATAAAGTGATTTGTGCGAAAAAATCTTGACCGTCCAATTTTGGGTGGCTCACTTAAGAGATTTTGACTCATAGCAATCTATTTACAGGAAAATCTAGGTATTATAAAAAAAACACATAAGCAATTATATACAATGGTGGTCAAATCAACCAAATTCATAATGATGTTTTTTTTAATTTGTTTATTTATTTATTTTTCGAAATATTTAACTAAAATTCAGTTCATTCCCTAACACCCACATAAGCCCAAGTTTAAAACTTTGTAGACAACCAAAAAATTCAACAAGTTTTCATGCAACTTTTTTCTCAGAAGTGTTAAAATTTTTTTGAGTATGTATTCAATTTTAGTTGTGGCTAAATATGACTGTTGATTTCCTAATATTTTTATTTTTTGTTGAGGTGTTCTTCCAAATATCGAATAAACCCAATTTATTTTTATAAGTAAGTAAACATACCTTCGTCAAAAAAAATTCTTAAAACCAAGCCACTTTAAACTCGCTTAAACACAGAAAACACAGTTTCAAACGTTTGAGAAAAATGTATTTCTCAATTTGATATCAAATGTTTTTCTCAAATGATTCTCAAATTGAAAACGAGGTTTAAATTTTACACTTGAAATTCATTTGAGGTTGATTTGAAGAAAGATGGCAAGCGTCAAACGATATAAAAATGAGCAGTTAAATAAAAAATTGTAAGAATAAAATTAAGATCAATTGAAAAAAAAAATAATGAATAGAAAAAAAATTTCAAAGAGAAAGCCCTCAAATAGTGTATTTGATGTTTGCACGGATTGAAGAAGCTGCAGCCCTTCAAGACGAATTTATTATAAATTACTTTATCTTAATCGTTTCTTTTGTTATGTGCATACATATGTACATCGCGAAGAAAGAATAAATATGAAATATACATTTCCTATAATAAATTTTATTTTCATATTTGAAGTACAATTGATAAATAACCTTTGAAATTGATTTGAGAGTTAACAATAGTCTCAAATGGAGATCAAACTCCCCTTTTTATTGAGAAAGCTGTAATTATCAAATCAATATCATATATATAATATTTTCAAACGTTTGACATTTGAGAAAGGCTTTGAATTCAAATCATTCCCAAATGTATATCAAACTTAATTGTTTGCTGGGAAACCATTTCAATGGTTAATTTACATTGAAAAAATTTACGACTTTAACACACTACGAAGCTTACGACATTTTATGAACACTCTAATTATATTTACCAGCTCTCAAGAAAACCGTCAAGAAAAAATTGTCATTCTGTTGCGTCACTCTTTCTTCAAGAAATAATGCAACGGGCATATATTTCTGTTGCAAACTTGGGTTGCTTTCAGCTTTTTTTTCAAAAAAAATGTAGGAAACCGTAGTAGAAAGCTTAGCAAATTTCTTAAGAACTGCGGACTGCCTTGACCAAATTTTACACAATAAAATTTCTTAGTCATTTTTTGTGCGTTATTTTATATGGAGCTTTTGCTCTTCGTGAGAGCTGCAAAATGGCCTTAAAGCTTAGTATCCAGCTCACTCGAAAACGGTCAAGAAAAAAATTTCCGTAGCCAACATGGGTTGTGTTGCGCTCTTTTTTCACAAGAAAACTTTGGAAAACCTTAGTAGAAAGCGTAGCAAATATCTTTAGAACTGCGTACTGCCTTCAGGAAATTTAACACAAAAAATTTTCTTTGCCATTTCTTGTACGTCATTTTAAGAGTACATGGAGTTTTTGCTATTCTTGAGAGCTGCATACTAAGCTTAAAAAAAGAACTAACGAAGAAACCCCAGATCAGTCAGACTATTATTTTTCTCTTTGTTACTATAAAAAGAAGCATTGTCATTAATTTCATCTTTGCGGAAATACATTTTTTTAATTTTTGGTGATATTTATGTGGGTGACAGACGACTTTTGTTTTGGCATTTAGATGGCAGACGAATTTTTTAAGTTTCTTATATGTCAAATGGTACGTACAATAGGTTTCGCGTATGCGGCTATGAATTTTTTTGTTTATTTTTTGCTATGATTGTAACCCCCCTGTAAGCCCCTGCCGTGGGCTGCGCCGGCAGACTTACAAATTAGTATTGTACGTTACACGCATACCTCATAGAAAAAAAATAAGCTTGCGGAAAGGGCGAAAATTTCTGTCGATAACTCCCAGACTATTATAGTATAGCATCGCTTCTAACAAACACTCTGCCGTCATCCTTAACAAACACTCTGCCGTCATTGTTAAATTTAAAATACTTTGAATATATGAGCAAACAGGATGGTTCCAAGTTGATGCAACATTTCTTACACAACCGGACCATAACGAATGCAGAGCTCTCTGGCTTAAAATTCCGCACTGATGAGCAGGGCCGTCGAATAAAACTCGGGCACCGAACTGAAAAATCACGGGCCCCTCCCTATACATAAATTTTGTTAATTTAAAAGCACGTGATCATTTTCTTTAATGCATAGAGTCAGAAACAATCAGCACGAATCGGAATTTATTTATAATAAAAGCCTATAACGAAGGAGCAATTACATTGTAATAAAATAACAAGAAGTTATGGTTCTGATATTTCAGGCCCCTTAAAAAGCCCGGGACAGGGGGATTCACCCCTTGACCCCCTCCCTCTCGACGGGCCTACTGATGGGTTCAGTTTAGCTTTCGTTGCTTCCTGTCCTTTGGGGTTGGCAGGCGTAGAATGCAAAGGAGATTGTGCGTATCGGATAAGAAGAGTTGTCATGTCTTCTCGCTTGCTTTACTATTTTGCTGCGTACACTAACATATACATATACATATGTATACATACATACACAATGCTAAATGATATAGGTATACGTATTTCTCTAACAAGACTTTAAGTGCGAATGAAGCCTCGCTTGCGTTTGTGACGCGTTCGAGCGATTAGTGGCTCTTCTTAACTTTTGTTATAAGAAGATCTCTATATATTAGTTTTGGGTTTTTCTCTTTTTGTTGTTTTACATATGTATGTATGTACCTATGCAACTATGTGTTGCTACTAGGGTTGGTGGGTTGGCGTTTCAATTCTCTATTTCATTTTTGTTTTGCTTCATTTAACTTGGGTGGTCAATGTTGGTGGTGCTGCTGTTCCTATTACTGTAACTGTTGCTATTTATTTAATTGTATTCAATGTGGGCAAGGCGAATTCAAACAAGGAGAGCACAAAGAGAGCAATAACTACTACTAATGTACAACAAACATTTTGACAATCATAACCACCGCGGCGAAAATGTCAGCTATTTTGGCAACACCGCCTTGTATGAATTCGCCTTGAATGTGGAAATTTGTACGCTAGTGATACTGGTGTTGTTGGTTTTGTTGCTGCTCCTGATGATGCTGTTGCGGGTGTTCGTGCAGGTGGGAGTGGGACTGCGAGTGCGAGTGCGGATGGGAATGATGATGTAGCAGTAGCGCTTGCACCGGCTGCTGTTGTTGTTGCTTGTGGCACTGTACTTGCGAAAGCCGGTGCTGTTGCGCTGCGTGGACACTCAAATATTGTTGGTGCTGCAAATGATGCAGCGGTTGGTACTGATGACGTTGATGATCGTGCGTATGATGGGCATAATGGGGGTGTGAATGGTGGTAATGGTGTTGCTGCTGCATGGCGCGTTGCATGTCCTGCTGCTGTTGTTGTTGGACGGTTAGCATCAGTGTCGGCGGCAAGGCGGCAGGTGGTGGTGTTGATATCAAAGCAGTTGGTGTCCTCGTGGCTGTTGATTCGCCCACATGAAGCTGAATTGGTAAATTGCTCGCGGACGCTGATTCCCCTTCAGACGCTGTTGATGTTGTACCAGTCCGCAAGCCACAAGCACCGAATGCGCTATGACTGCTGCTTGCACTGCTACCGGCAGGTGAGGGCGTGCCCACATTAACGAAGTCGTCGCTGCCGCCGCCGCTGGCAACATTGACGCTCGCAGTTATAGCAGCCGACGCGACGGCGGCTGCGGCAGCGGCGGCGGCGACCGATGTTGCAGCGGCTGCATTAGCTACCACAGCTGCAGCAGCAGCCGCGGCAGAAACACCAATATCTGGAAGTGGTGACCCGGGAAGCGAACTGACCGACGATGCTCCGGTTACGGCGTTGACTTTTGAGGCGGATGCCGATTGTGAGAGGAGCAGCGTAGATCACTGAAGTCGTGGCCAATAGTTCGTGCTGGTTAAATCGCTGGCGCTTTGTGCGGGTATTTGTACGGGCACGGACACGCCTGCAGAGATGACACCTGCAAACGTATGGTTATCTGAAATTAAAATGATTTCAATGTAGTAATCATAAAATATTTTTACATTAGCGCACTCGCCCTCTTTCATAATGATTATTTTGCGAACTTACAAAGTTTTCAGTGGTCAAGTCTATTTACCTGTACTACTAGACCCACTTGCAGGACCACCACCATACACTGAGGAATGCTGCGATGGGGGTTGTTGGTGCGCAGCAGCGGGATTGCAGGAAGAGCGCGCGTGTGCTGCATACGGAACGGAACCCAGAGACAGTGGGTCATGAAACATGTAAGGATAGCTATCGCGTTGCTGCAGACAAGTGGACGTCATAGAGCTCAGCGACGAGGTCATCGAGCTGGTGAATTTACAAATTTGTTAACATTATGTAATTTTTTTAACATGAGAATATACCGTATTTCATGAATGTGGGTCACTTACTTGTAGTTCTCCGCGATCGTAGCGATGGGCTGTGGTATCGATGAATACATCGTGTTGAAACCGGAGTTTAAGGGAAGGCGGGGAGCGACGGCTTGTATAGGCGGACTCACAGAGCTACCATGACCGCCGACATTGAGAGCGGCTGCTGCCGCTGCGTTACCCACTGTTGGTACAGTTGCGCCGCCACCACCACTTGTGCCGGGAAGTGCCGCGGCTGCAGTTGCGCTGGTGCCACCGCCGTTCGAGCCTTCCGCCGCGCTGCCATTGTTACCAGCCGCATTGACATCGGCTGCCGCACCTCCACCTACACCAATACCGCCAACACTATTGCCACCTGATCCACTTTGATGGCTGACCACTGCTGCGGCAGCTAACGCAGCAGAATTGGCGGTACTGGAGCGCCCACCGGAACCGCCGTTATTGCTTGTATGGTCGACTGAGCGCCGTTGGGTCCGTAGCTTTTCTTCACGTCGCCATTTTGCGCGTCGATTGGAAAACCAGACCTGTTGTAGAGAGGTATGAATTAATTGGAGTTCTGTTGTTAATTTTGGCAATAGTTTTAATGAATTAAAAGGAAAATACCGAAACGCAAGAAATAATTTAATGAACTAAACATTTAAATTAACGACGAAAGGAACGGAATTTAATTCCTATAAGTATATGTACCTACATTAAAGCGCAGTTACCCACGGACGTAAAAATGGAGAACGCGTCAGCTGACACGATCTATCTTATGGGATCTGCGAGTTAACAAAAACTCATCTGCGTATGACCGTGACGAAGACGTTGCTTCTTTCTCTTTCTATGAACCGCAAACTGGATATATTTCTATGGTACGTACACGTTCGTGGGTAACCGCGCTCTTTGCCCGACCAGAAAAAATGAAAGTGCTTCTTTTTTTTGACCCTCTTTATTTTTTAGCTTCCATTATGGCTAAAAACCATTCCCTGAAAATTCGGTACAAAAATATTAACATTTAGAGGTCTCGTGTGGATTATTTCTTAAAAATAATTTGCAATTTTTTATCATTAGTAATGTTTATAACCACATCTTTGACGAACAAAACGATTCACCGAAGATAATAGGACGTTCATTATATTTTAAGGAATTTCGAAAAAATCTTAAAAAAAGATAAAAAATTTCAAAATTTAATTTTAAATGTTGATGACTCCTTAGGAAAGATTTTAAATTTTTTTTCACTGGTATTATTTATAGCCACACCTATGGAAAACAAAATTAGTCATCGGATATTACGTTCATTATGTATTGAGATTTAATGACAAAATCTAAAAATGGAAGAGTTATTTTAAGATTTTGAGGAAGAGGCACAAAACGTTCACGAGATACCTCTAAATTTTTGCACCAAATTTTCAGGGGGAGTGTTTAACCTAACGGAAAGTAAAAATTAAAGAGCGTCAATAAAGAATCGCTTTAAATTTTTCTGGTCAGTCTAAGGTACATGACAAACTAAAAGAAATGCTGAACGGAAGAAATCTAAGATGGAGGAGCAGTGAATCCAAATTATTCAGGGTATTCATCAAAACGCGAAAATGCCTCGTAATCGCGTAAACCTCGTATATAAACCATATACATATAAGTAAGTTTATGAGGTTTACGTGGTTACGAGGTATTTACGTGTTTAGTTGAATTGCACTATTTTATTAAAAAAAAATTTACACACCTCAAATTATGAATTTTCGTTACTACACATTCGCAGTTCAGGGAAAGTCTAATAATAAATTGCGACTAATAGTAGATATAGATTGTGCGAAAATAATGAAAAAATTTGCTGAGTTCGAAAGTGTTCGGCTGAGAATTCATTTGAATCTCATTGAACGATTTACATATGTATGTAAATACTTTTTTTAATGTCTAAAAGTAATGTGCTCGATGTTCTTATGCCATAAAAAACTTTGTTTCAGATTCAGGGAATTATATGAAATGCAGTAGAAACCGCTTACGTTAAAAATTTTGTAATAATCTGAAATTACCAACGTATTAATAAAACCATTTGTACATGACTTCATTAGGAAAGTTTTTGAAAGAAATAAGAAACTTTCAAACATTTTTTTTTTTCACTCCAACAGAACTTTTTCCTACAATTTTTAGAAAGAATCGATCCCCCGAAATAATCTTATTTGCTATTTATTCGAATTGACTTTTTGATGCAAATTTGCTTTACACTCCACAACGCATCGCCTGGTAAACTATTATAGATGAAATCCCTGTAGTTCGCCAAAAAATTGGCTGTATAGTTTAACTTATGTTACAATGTATTCTGTGGGTGAAATTATTATATTTTATACAAGGCATTATTGAATCATGCATATTTGCTATGCTTTTGGTTCTGTGCATAGCACAATTGAATCTTTTGTACGCAGGCGTACCATTTGAGCGCCCAGTTAGTGGCGCACAATTATTCAAAATGCACGAACTAACCCATCGGGATACGACTGAAAATTTCATTTTTTTTACTATCGAACAAAATTAAACTAATGGTGATTCGTTTCTACCAAAAAATGCCCCTTTTACGATTCTAAATTAAATGCAAAGGGTGAGAAAACTTTGTGTTCGTTTCCTAAAATGTCACACTCTTGTAAGGCAAAAAAGGCACATTCTGTGCACTGTGAAGCTTCGCACCGTCACACTTATGATTGGGAATCCAAATTTGTTTACCTCTTATAACTCATTCCGTGTTTTTTGGTGGCACCTATAATTTTTTTCTGAAGTTTTTTTTTGGGAATAATTTGACTTTCAAGATCAAAGTGGTAATTTGAGTATATCTCAAAACTAGATGTTTGTTTTAATTTTTACTTGTCTAAATGGAAAGCTTGACTTATTTCCCATAGTATATGTAAATATTAGAGTGGGATATTGTGTAGTTTTAGAGAAAATAAACTTCAAACAACCGCGCGCGCACCAAATGCGCGTGACCTCTAGTGACCACGCTGCGCCATGTATGTATGTATGTGTGTAGTAGAGATTATAAAAACGATAATTGCTTTTATTCATGATAAGTTTTATTGTAATACATGGTCAATTGTCATCAGTATGTAATTTAAAATTCCCGCTAAATGTAATAGCTCCAAACTTGACGCTAGGTGCAACTCTAATAAATAAGATTAAGTAAACGGTTTTTATATAAAGGATATTTATTTATTTATTATTAAAAGGGTATTTATTTTAAATACATTTTTATTAACAAAAATTAATTCATTTGTATGTGGTTACCAAGACGAGTTTGAATAATAATGAAAATTTTCACACAAAAATCTCTTAAATCTAAAATTTCCAAAATTACAAAGTTGAAATGAACACAGTACAATTAAAGGTAATAGCACAAATACAAACCCTGCAATACTCCCCCTTCTAGAGAATTAATGTTATATAAATTAAAACTAACTCGTTTCTTATTTGATTCTGTGTTATTCTTTATATCAGTGTTTGTTTCAGGTGTTAGTTTTGTTTCAATAATTGCTGGCTTAAGTCTGTCTATCGGAATTGTTTTAACTTCATTATCAACTTCAAGTTTAAAATATTTTTTGTTTTTTTTCCACAGCGTTATAAGGTCAGTGATGCCAGATTGTGGGTAATTTCCCTATTTGAGGGATATTTTGCATGAAAAATTATTAAAAGGGAATAAAGGGACATTTCATATAAATAAGGGATTTTCTTTTGACGCAGTTATTGTTGCATAATTGATCAAAATTCAAGAATATTCGACATTCTTACGTAATTAATCGTTCTGAAGATGTGATGTGGAGTGAAATGGTATATAATTGTTAAAAAGTATAAGGACAATTTCGAAAATTTTCTTACGTTAACCAATTCAAGCGCTGAGTAAGAAAGAATATTTTCAGTTGTAACTGGTGTTTCATGTAAAAAGCGGAACAAATTATCTGATGAAATGTTAAATAGCACATGACTGTGCTTCAGTTTTTAAGTCACCAAAAAATTCTTTTAGGCCCTTAGTGAGTGAGCAAAAAAATGAATGAGTGAAAAAAATGCAGAAAAAGGGGTTTTTTCTTAACAGCGGTCGGCCCTCGGCAGGCAATGGCAAACCTCCGAGTGTATTCCTACTATGAAAAACCGTTTCTCATAAAAATACACTCGCCATTCGGAGTCGGCGTAAAACTGTAGGTCCCTCCCCTAGTGTGACAACATCAAGGGGACCGCCACAAATTGGAGGAAAAGCACATATGTGTAAGCGCCAAACTATTATTATTATTTTATATGAATTTTACTTCTTACTACTGAAACATGTACATATATGTGACCTGGTCTACGGAAAGTGGGCTTAGGTGTCAAAAAATCAATTTTCACTTTTTGGTTGATTCGGATGGAAGATGAGATGCTTTTTCACGTGGTGAAAAGCAGAAAATCCTAACTTGCTTAGAAGTGTACTAAAAATGTAGAGAAAGAAGAGTAAAAATACGACAAAACTACACACACTAGCAACTTACACTTACACGATGAACTATAGTAATATTCCGACCAACAACAACACTTACTGGACCAACAACAACACTTACTGGACGTCCGGCGCGGAACAATTAACGAGATAATGAGAAACTGACGAAACGAGTTGCTTACTTTTAACAGCTTTTTCACAGAAAACTAGTTTTCGCACGTAAGCTCCCTTTTCGTAGACCAGGTCACATATGTTTAAGTTCGTTGGGAATTTTGTGGGATAAATTTTCAAGATAGTACCCACATGAGGGATTTTTTCCCCATTTTCGTGGGATTTTTAACAGAGAATGTCTGGCATCACTGTATAAGGTCCTTCTTATGGTTGTTGCAATGATCTTTTATTAATAACGCGCATAAAACAAATTTTCAAGTCTCCAAATTCTTTGGTATATATACACCAGTATCAGAATTTTGATTTAAATTTGAATTTACATTTTTTAAATGTTCCCGTAAATTGCCCAAAACTTCAGTTGGAGAAAAATTTTCTTCAGATGGAACCACAAGTTCACTGGGTAGACGTAAATTTAGCCCAAAAACCATCTCATATGGTGTGGCTGCAATACTTTCTTTATACATCGATCGTAAACCAAGAAGTATTATCGGTAGCTCATCATACCAATTGTTGGTTAAATTTCTAGCCATTATCGTAGCTTTCAACTGCCTATGAAATCGTGCTATCATACCTAATGTGACCAACCGTACTTCTTTCAGAAGTACAGTACTTCTTTTTGAGCCGTTGTACTTCGTACTTCGAAGTACAGTCAAGTGTAGTTCTTTTTGCAATATTTTGTTCTTCCCAAGGCACATTGAACAGGTAGTATCAGTAGAGCAGCTGATTTGATTTTTTTTTTCAAATTATTCAGTCTCTAAAATGTCAAATATTTTTAATTTCTTCCCACAAAAAATATAAATTGTCTAAATCTTTTTGTATGTGAAACCTTTTCTCATACAAAGCAAGCGATTGAAAAGCAATGGCTACTCAATCAAATAGAATTAAAAGATATTAGAGAGTTTGAAAATTCTGTGGCGAATC